TAAATGACATGTTTTTTTTTTCCTTTTAGAAACTTTATTTATTTATTTAGCCGGGGTTGGGCTGGGTTTGAACCCGCCACCTCCAGCATATGGGACCAGCGCACTACCCTTTTGAGCCACAGGCGCTGCCCCCAGCACTGGGAAGTTTTAAGTGGCAGTGTTTGCCTCTAATTAGGACCATTCAGATAGCCCAATAAGTAACTCTTATACACAAAATTCCCTTCCATTGACAAGTCTTAATCGAAACTTAGTAACTTTTATCACATTCAATGAATGTCATCAGAACACAGGGAGGGAAAATGAATATTGTTACCAGGATACTCTTTAATTTGCTATAGTTTATTATTTTTTAATTTTTAAAGAATTATTCCCAAACTTAGATGCTTTATAATTTATAATGAATGACTGGTAACTCTCCAGTCATTAATAACTCAATCAGCACAACACATTGCCCACAGACCACACTATGTCAATCTGTCCCAGAGACAAATAACCTTAATTGTGCATTTGTAGATTTACCTTAAACTTCATGGTATATAACTAAATTCAAAACCAAAACAGGAAAACATGTCAAGATTATTCTCATATACTTTTTTTTTCTTTTTTAGGCCAAGACTAAACATACTTCACACTGAAGAAAACAAAAAATCCCAAACCAAAACCAATACTGAAAGAGTAACCCAGAACACCAACCCTAAAATACTCACACAGCAACCAGCTGGATTTTGAATTTGATAGATGTTGGATTAAATTCCGGTTTGCTCAAATTATGTTCACATTTCTAAAAAAGAAAAGAAACATACAAAGTCTCAAAGGAAAGCAAGAATATACTTCGTTGATCCTCAGAGCTGCTAAATTCAGAAGGACAGTATTTACTAGAATTTTGTTTTCCTTTACTCTGCTACAAGACCATATATTTTGAAATAAGAGTGTGTACTACTGATAACCAAAATTTATAAAAGATGCTTGAACTTCTGGATATAAGTAACCACACTATCCAATATACATTTGTGAAGCTTAAAAATTACTAAAATATCAGCTAACGCATACTGAGTACTTACTATATGTGCTGAGCAATGTGCTCATGGGCTTAAACGGATTTAAATATTACATCAACTTTATAAGGCAGGTATAGGTACAATAACTATTAATGTTCCCATTTTTTAGATGATTAAAATGGGACACAGAAAGGTTAAGTAAATTGTACAGCTTCACAGAGACAATAAAAATGGAAGCTGGGATTTGAATCCAAGTAGTGTAATTCCAGATGCTATGTTTTTTTTTTTTTTTT